GTACCAAAAGTTTCTTCTTAAATCTAATAGTTGTGAGGCTATAAGTGATTTACTTTTGTGTGTTTTTGTCAGGCAGAAATTTATTTATACCCCCTGAGGGTGTAAGAGGTTAAGTCATGGATTTTTAAGAAGAGGTTTTAGGAACTCTGATCAAAATGTGTAGATAAAGGAAATAGATCTATTTTTATATGAGGTGTTTATTTATATAAGTAATTTCAATGGCAAGACAATTCAAATTGCTGCATATTAGAAAAAAAGTAAATTTCAGGGGCATGGAGGCAACACAAATATTTAAAGAGAATAAAAATGATGCACAGCTAATTGTATTAACTGAAGACGTGAAAAAAAAATTAAATGCTCTTCTTTTTGTTCAAGAGCTATTAATTCAGGTTTTTAATAATCCAGCTTAAAACAATATTTGCACATCAATGTGCAGATTTATTCTGCACATTTACTCAGCCTCTGAATGGTTTGACAGTCACCTGGTGACAATGTAATGTATAGCTGTATGTCATCTCTATAGTTATGGTAACTTACTGTATGTTATTCATCAAGATCTGAGTTAGGAGGAATCATAAATATATTGAATAAAAGGGGGCCTAAGATGGTCCCTTGAGGGCCGTCAAATGTGACTTTTGTTGTCTCCGATGTAAAGGTACCTACAGACACAAAAAATCCCATCCTTTGGTGGGATTTAAACAAGTCCACCTCTGTACTAGAAAGGCCGACCCAGTTTTCCAGATAGAATGGAGTGATCAACATTGTCAAATGCTCTATTAGGATCCAATAATACCAGCACTGTGGTCTGGATTTATACGGATGGCAATAAATAGCTTAAATTAGGCAAACTTTGTACTGTGATGAGCTCAGAAGCCTGATTAGGAGACATTAAAGTGTCTAAAGTGTGAATGAATCAAACATATATCTTAACATTTAGCCTTGACGTAAACATTGTTAAATATGTGTATATATTAAAGACTACCAAACAGCTGAAACTCTTTGCTACTGCTCCATAAATATTGATAAATTTAATAACTCATAAAAGATCAGAGATTCTTGCATCCCTTTGACAGAAACACTCCCTTATAAACAGGGTTTGGCATGTCAGAGTCAGTTCAAAATAGTCTACGATAGGCGGACAGACAAGGGGTTTTGCTCAATGAGCTCTACGTATGCACTGATGTATGGTGTTGCCAGACCCATCACTGTTAAGAACGTTTTTAGCTGTTAAAACTAGAGATACACAACCCAATTTATTTCCAATTCACTCCGAAACAATACCTTGGCGTAGTGCATTGGTTGATATTTGATACCGTTCCGAATCAAATGTTTAATTGAATGAACCATATATCTTGCCATTTAGCCTTGACTTGAACAGTATTTAAAAAAGGATAACAAATTAACACAGATAACAGTGTACTTTGTTATTATTATTATTCAAAGATAATCAACTAAAAGAACTGCAGTTCCCTGTAAAGTCCACTGGGTTGGATCTCCATTATCACTGATTTTCAATCCAGATATCAGATCGATGCATCTCTTGTTAAAAGACAGATTTTTCGATAATCTTACTGATGAAGCAGAGTTTTTAGAAGGGCCGTGGTTCTACAGTAGCAGCTAATCCAAGCAGCTGCTTTTTAACAGCATTTTGATATTTTCTGTTTTCGGGGCATGGGAGAAAACAGCAAACAAAATGGATTATTATTAGAGTTAAATCCACAAAGTGTGCTCTGCCTTAACGCAATACTTTTGGTTTTGCTTGCATTTTTTATGGGATGAACTTAAAAATCTAAAGCTTTTTCAACATATACAATATCACCATTTCCCTCAGATATTGTTCACAAACCAGTCTAAATCTGGAAGTTGGGTTGGGCTTTTTCCACTCCTGCAGGAGTTGTTTCAATCTCTTTCCTGTGTGGACTCAGTTTCTCTTTTACAAACCTACATTTTTTAATCTAACAGTCATGCATAAGTTATGCACATGTTACTCATAGGTTTTGGATAAGCTAGACACCACGACTTATGAGTAACTTACACTTAACGAATTTAAACAATCAAATAACTTACATTTAACTTATGCCCCACGTATGAGCATATGCCGGCATATGTCGGGATAGGACACTTTATAGTGGTTACGCGGTTTTATCGAATGTCTAGTGGAAGTAGTTGACTCAAACTTGCCAACAATGTAACTTGAAAAGTCACCATGTCATCCATGGTCACTAGACGAGCAGATACATCCCGGAATGCTTTCCGAGAGCTCTCTTCGCAAAGCAGCGACTCTCTGTCGGGTAGCATGAGCGGCGGCAAATAACAAATATGAAGCAGGCTCTCTGTGGGAAGGTGGAGTTACTGGGCCAAGAGGGAGTAAAAAGTAGTGATTATCTGTCCGAACGGTCAGTTAACTGAGTTCACCATAAAGCTCACTATATAGTCTCCACTCTATATAGTGATTGAGGGAATTCAGGGGTTAGAGTGGATGTTTGGACACGGCCTTACCCTGCCCAAAACTAAAGGCCACTCTGAAAGGTGCATATAAAATAAGACATTTTGACTATCAATTCATATATTTACCAGGAGTGACAATAACTGGTGGGTACTTTATACAAAGTAAGAGTTTTACCGTAATTAAATGGCTTAATAAAGTTTCAAATTTGAATAAAATTTCATTACACCCTTTTAAATTATCAATACAGATATAAAACTTGATGCTGAACTAGGGTGCGTTAAAATCTTTTTTCATAGGCTCTAGTCTTATATTTCAATTTAAATAATGTTTTTTAGAATATAGTGTTGGTTTTCTTTTAGCAAAACGGTTTTTGTCTTTTGTTTTTCCAACCTGGTTATTTTTGTGCAGAATGGCTAGTTTCTTCCACCAAATAAAACATATAAATGTATTAATTACAGTTTTTTTTTTTCATTTTTTAAATTTCAGATACATATCTGTGAGAATGAACAAGAAACAATTTTGTAATACCACATAATAAGATAAAATTTTAATCAGTCAGTACTTGAAAAGGGTGCTCACCTCTCATGATAACCTACAGCAATATGATAGGGGGCAAAAAAAAGCCTGGTTTCAAATTTAAGTGCTTTTCTGCTTCAAATAATATTCAATCAGGACAAAGTGACTGAAGATATTGCTGACGTACTTCTGCAAAATGTCAGCTTGATAAGAAGTGTCAGTCAGTATTCCTTTGCCTTCTTCTTCAAATTAAAAAATGTCAGATAGAAAAAGAAGAAATGAGAACAAACACTTTTCTTCACTGATATCAGAGTCTTAAGTTAAAATGTTAAATTTAAAGGAGAAATAAAAGCTTTGCATGGGCCTGGAGTTATTAATTAGAATCCAATTTAGGAAAAATGACCCACAGGAAATAAATTAAAACCATCTTTCAGATAGAGATAGTTTATAGTTTAGGATAGTTTATCCTGTGGCAGGGGCTTAAACACTTACCTTTAATCACAATCATGACCTTGATGATTGTATTAGGAAGACAAATATCTGCCTGAGGAGGAGCATCATATTTCAGAGACATAACTCCACTGCAGCTTTCTGAAAGATTTGTTCTATGGTAACAAAAGCAAAAGCTTCATTTTTAATCCCTTTCACATAATGTAGCTCTTTTCAGAACTACTCTCAATCTTAATCTAATGCAAAAGAAGCTGTTCCTCACGTGTCTGGACTTTAACTTTGACCTTTTTGAGCTTGTGTCGCACAAAGGCTCCCTTTGTTAAATAAGGGATTTTCATCTTGTAATGAGATTAGTCTCTTAAGCAACAGGCAGGAGTTAAGCAAATATTTTGTGCTGCCACGTTGCACAAAAACCTGCATAGCATAACACCATCCAAACCCAAACTAGAAAGCACACAATGGTATGACTGAGCTGAGATAACAGGTTTTTCACTCTTTGTTTTAAAAATGAAGACTCAACAGCCTTTCCCATCTCCAGTCTGGAATCTTTCTAAACGTTTAACTTCAGAAGTTTGGCTCTCCTACCCTCTTTTCCTTTTTTTTAAGCTCTGATAAAGTCTCTGGCTTCTTGCCAGGAAAAATCACCAGCTCAATGCTAAAACCACCTAAATTTCTCTGTGGAAATACATGTAAAGCAGCCGCATAATCTGAACAGGTGTGGAGAGGTGGAGGAAAACCTGTGGTACATCTCTGAACAGTTTTTATTGGTGAAGCAGTAACTGCTGAGGGGTAAGGAGTAAATCCTTGACATACAGAAAAACTATTATGCATGCACAAGCTCATATGAAAAGGCAATTTGGTGAGATCAGTTAATATAAAGGTATTTTTTTTCCAACCACGAAAAGAGGCTATAGTACCTGGCAGCAACAAAAAACAGAACAAAAGAAAGACATACATACAGAGAACACAAAAAAAATCATTAAAAATCCCAAGCTAGCATCCCAGACCAAGGATTGTCTTACGGAAAGGAAGCAGTGTTATCAACCGTGCAACTAGAAGGGATTATTGTTCAGTTATTATTTAGACTAAAAATATTCTTTATAGTGGATAAATGGTCAAGACAGCATCCACACAAATCAGATCAACACAAAAACCTATATAAAAAAGGAAAATAAAATTAAACAGTAACCTCTCAAAAAACACAGTGACATTTTTTCTGTGCTATAATGATACTCCTGCGAGATGGATTTGATTTTCAGAATGGTTTCTAAATCATTTCACAATCATAGGATCTGCTAGGAAAATTATGTTAGAAAAATCAATCAAAGACCTCAGAACATTCAAATGCAGTATTTCTAAGGTAGGCATGGTAGCTGCCCATAGCTTATAGCATAAATAAAGAGACAGGCTTCTCTTTTATGGCTGCTATAGCTAATAGAAAGTGTGGAGCTGTGTATTATTGAGGTAATTAATATTTTAAATGTAACTTAAAGCTGCATGTTGTGCAGAATCCAAGTTCCTTTAAAAGGAAGGGGGTTCATATATGAACAGAATATCACTGTAATCAATCAGCCATAATTGTCCTTTAGCAGCTTTTGCTTTGCAGGGAATGACACATAGTTCATATCTGAAATCAAGAAACATTTTACCGTAGGGTTTCCCAACATGATTAGAAACATGTTCAATACATTAAGGTTTTTATTTCAGTCCACCTTGAGGCTAAAGAGTTTTAGCCAATAGGAAGGATTTGTCAATTAAGAAGACATCCGGCTTGGATGTTTCCCCATTTTTCACCCAAATAGCAATGATCATCATAACCAAACAGTTTCATTGAATCACAAAATTCTCACCAGAATTATAGGTCCTTATCTATTTGTGAATTTGAAATTGTAATATGGCTTTTGGAATAATGACACCTTCCTCTCTAAGCAGCTGTTCAGCTCATGTTGGTACTGAATATATCTTATTGTTAATAGTAACTACCTCCGAACAGCTTGAACCCGGACCTTTATGTGCGTTTGCTTTTGTTATTGGTTTGATGCGCATATGTTCAGCCAGCATTTATTGACTTTTGAAATGTTTTATAAGATGTTGGAAGGCAAATATCAGAGCTCAAAAGACGATTAAAAATAACTCTTTCTTCTTTATTCTGACATTTAGCATAAGAAATGCTTTTGGCAGTATTATCCAGGCTAGAACAGCATAAAAAAGGTTTAGTCTGAATTTATGTCCTACAGGAAGGAACATTTTTTTATGTGAATGTGCATGTAAACATAAACTAAAACTAATGAGACTTATTACTCAGTTTTAGATCAAATAATGAACACCTTTGGAGGTACTTAAAAGTCATAGGTTGGTTGAAGCTCAGGAAATCCTGGAACAGGTAAGCAGAAAACTGAATTATACTTTCATTCTATTTTTCTGCTAGAGAAGCTGGAAAACAATGAAGAATGAATTATTAAAATAAAACATGTTACTAGGGATACATGGCTAATCAAAGTAAGCAGTGTAGAAGCTTAAATTGGTGTTTTTAACAAGTTTTATTTGAAAACATGGAAGAAAAGTAATTGATCACTAATATGAATGGTTCTTTTCCCTCATAAAACCCCCTTTACCCCCCACCCACCCCGCCCCGCTGTTAATCTTTTGCATTCAGCTCTCAGTAAGCCTGGCTGGATTGTAGAAGCCAAACTTTTCACAGATTTATTGCAGCACCAACAGATTGCTAAACAGCACCTTGAGGAAAAATAAACATCATCGGGCTGCTTGCTTTTCACATTTCACCTGTTAGACTCCATTAACAGCTGAGATGAATCAGAGTAAGACAGAGTTGGAGCCTCTTTACTACTATGAGTACTCTGACTGGTATTCTGACCCTGAGCCGACCAAACCTCCGAGAGAGTGAGTACTACATCTTTAACATTTACCTGTTATTTTTTTGATAATTATTTTTATTAAACAAAGATTTTGACTTAATTCCTTCTCTGTCTCAGAGTAATTTTACCGTGTGACCCGACTGCAGATGAGAGGTACTTCCACATATGTATTCTGTCAATATCTGTAAGTACATACAAGAAACAAGACTTGCAAATATTAAAGGTAAAGGAATATTTCTAAGATAAATTATATGGAATCTATTTGAAATGATGCCCTTATTCAGGTTACCTGTTACAAACTTTTTAACGTAACTTCTTTGTGAATCAAAGTCCTCGATTTATAATGAGATTTGCTTTCCTCTTGTCTGCATCATTTTACAACTAAACTTTAAAATGTCCTCAGAAAGCTATTTGTTCCAGAACTGAGGTGACCCTGTTCCTTTTTGTCTGTAATTGACGTAAACTGCTGTGGACCTCTGCTACTCATATGATTTAATGGGACAAGGAGCATTTAAGTTTTTTTTTGTCTTACATATAAACCTTTGGCTTACAGTACAGCCCTTAGACTCTGTAAATCTTTCTGCATTTTGTCACGATACAAGTACAAAATGTTCACATTTTATTGGGATTTTATGCAACATAGTTCAGGTGATTTGTTAAAAACAATTTACATATAAATTGCTAAAAAGTGTAACTTTGGTATTTTGACAGTTATACTATAATAAAACAAAATTTAATACAGCACAACAAATTACCCACTAAGTATAGTCAATCTGTGTGTGTTTATATCGCAGTATAAATTCATCTTTTCATGAATCTCCTCAGATGCTTGTTAGAGATGTAAGCGGACAATATTGAGCAAAGAGCATCATGAAAACCAAGAAACAAATCAGCAATGTCTAGGAGAAAGGTTTGCAAAAAGCTTAAAGGAAAAGTCTGATCATCAAGGACTAACCAATGGTTCATTATTTATACATTAAACTGAGACGTTTGCATTGATTTAATGAATTTAGTGTTAATCAGTAAAAAAATAAAAACTAGTTTTCGCCCAAATCCATTTTTGCCCAAATATAGTAACGCCTCATTCCTGACATCTTCTGGCAGTGAGGTTACGGTGTTGGAAGCCCTGCGCCATTCTCCCCACTTTACAAGCAAAATCAATGGGAACTACTAGACACCCCTAGCGTAGTAAACTAGAGATGTGTTTTGAATTTCTTGATGAAAAGCAGGCGGGGTTTTGAGGGCGTGACGACAAAGCTGCGCAACACTAGGGAAAGCACAACAAGGAAGATGGCAACAACTATTGAACAGTTCTCGTTTGGCTCAGCTTTGGAATCAGTTTTGGAAGGATTAGACTTGGGGTTTTCGTTGAAACGTGAGCAGGAAGAGGCTCTACGCTCATTCATTTTTAAGAAGGACGTATTCGCCCTTTTACCAAC